GAGCAGTGTCTCTGTGCCCTCAGTCAGCGCCTGTGCGATCAGTGTGTGAGCTGTTAGTGTCTGTGCGGCCTCAGTCAGAGCCTGTGCGATCAGAGTGTGTGTGAGCAGTGTCTCTGTGCCCTCAGTCAGAGACTGCGTGATCAGTGTGTGTGTGAGCTGTTAGTGTCTGTGCGGCCTCAGTCAGAGCCTCAGTCAGAGCTTCAGTCAGCGCCTGTGCACGATTAGAGAGTGTGTGTGAGCAGTCAGTGTCTCTGCTCCCTCAGTCAGTGCCTGTGCGATCAGTGTGTGTGAGCTGTTAGTGACTGTGCGCGATCAGAGTGTGTGTGTGATCAGTGTCTCTGCGCCCTCAGTCAGCGCCTGTGTGCGATCAGTGTGTGAGCTGTTACTCTGCGCCTTCAGTCAGAGCCTCAGTCAGAGGCTGTGTGCTCCGTCAGTGCCTGTGCGCGATTAGAGAGTGTGTGTGAGCAGTGAGCTCTGCGCTCAGTGCCTGTGTGTGATCAGAGCCTGTGTGTGATCACTCAGTGCCTCTGCGCCCTCAGTGACTGTGCGCGATCAGAGAGTGTGATCAGTCAGTGCCTGTGTGCGCTCAGAGACTGTGTGATCAGTGAGCTCTGAGCTCAGTGCCTGTGTGCCCTTAGTGCCTGTGCCCTTTGTTCCTGCTGCTCTCAGTGTGTGCTCTGCCCTCAGTGCCTGCTGCTCTGTGTGTGCCCTGTGAACCCTCAGTGTCTCAGTGCATTCTCCCCTCAGTGCTTGCTGCTCTGAGTATGTTCTGCCCTCAGTGCTTATGCACCCTCAGCATCTACTGCTGTGTGTGCTGCCCTCAGTGCATTCTGTGCTCAGTGCCAGTGCCCTCAGTGCCTTCTGCCCTCAGTGTCTGCTGCTCTGAGTGTTCTGCTCTCAGTGCCAGTGCCCTCAGTGCCTCTGCACCCTCAGAGTGCTCTGCCCTCAGTGTCTGCTGCTCTGAGTGTTCTGCCCTCAGTGTGTTCTACCCTCAGTGCCTTCTGCCTTCAGTGTCTGTGCACCCTCAGAGTGGTCTGCCCTCAGTGTCTGCTGCTCTGAGTGTTCTGCCCTCAGTGTGTTCTACCCTCAGTGCCTTCTGCCCTCAGTGTCTGTGCACCCTGTGCACCCTCTGTTCCTTCTGCCCTCAGTGTCTGTGTGTCCTCAGCACCTTTACCTCACAGCCTCCACCCTGGGCAGAGCTGTGGGCACACCCTGCCCTTTCCTGAGAGCTGTCCCCACAGAGCTCGGGCAATGAGGAAGAAGCACCCAAGCGTGTTTACTTGCGCAGCTGCTGCGCTTTGAATGCAAACGAAGGTTATTTGGAGTCATGAATCATGACAGGTGGACAAGACCTTTAGAATCATCAAGTGCAGGTGTTAACCCGTGATGTTTAGTGTTCTTAAACACTAAACCATATCTTCCAGGTGTGGACACCTCCTAAATGCTTCTAGGGATGGTGACTCCACCACCTCCCTGGGCATAGAATCATGGAATCATAAAATTTGGAAGAGACACTTTAAGATCATGAAGTCCAACCGTTCACCTGACACTCCACTCTAACCTCTAAATCCTAAATCATATCCTCCAGGTCCAAACACCTCTTAAACCCTTCCAGGGATCATGATTCCACCACCTTTCTGGGCAATATTCCGACACCTGACAAATGAACCCTAACAACAATAACAGATACCTCTTTGTGTTACTAATCCTGTGTGTTGCAGAACAGTATTAAAATAAAACAACTAAAAAACCACCTAAATCCTCAGAAGTAAAACTCCCAAAGAAAACACAAAACCTGAAGCAATTCTTGTCCCACATTCGGCTTTTATTGGGTTAAGCATTGCAGGAAGGAGATGCAGTAATATGAAGAGGGATGTTACTAAGACCTTAATTAACACGTCACACCCACACAGCAATGCTTTAAGTGGCTCTTGGTTGCCCAGATCGTGGGGGTTTGCAAGAAATGAAATATTCTTCTTGAGAAGCAGCACACAGAATTCCCTCCTGAGGCAGTCTGAGCCTCGTTAGATCCTTGCAGCAACTAATGGGAGCAGCAGGAGCATGAAAGATTTACAGCAAAGTGTCTTTTATTTTTGCCACAGAATTTCGGTCTCAATGTGAGCAGCATTTCATGCAGCTGCTCTTGGTGTGGGGAACGAACTCAGTGCCTGGGTAGTGACAGAACAGATGCTCAGCCTAGGAAAAACAATAACATCCTGGTGTTAAAGCTTTTTTTAAGTTTCCTGATCTGAGATCTGGTGATTACAGTGTCATTCAGGGAAGGGAGAGTTTCTGGGAAATGAGCTATTTCAAAGAAATTACCCCAAACCAAGCCCAAAATGCTAATGTTTAGAGGTGCCATTTTGTCATCCAAGCTGATTATGCTGCTAACAGTGAAAATCCATTGTTACATGCGGTAGATTCACCAGAGATCCCATCTTAGCCAGTGTGAAAGCAAGAAGAGAAACTGAAAGCCCAGTGCAGTGCCCTGCTCTGGCACTGCTGCTGTTCAGGCAGGTTTTTAGAGAACAAGCTCTCCCCTAATCCATGCAAACGAAAAGCAGCTTTGTGTCAGAAGCAAGGACTAGTCTAAATCTGACCTGTGAACACAACAGATTCAGATTAGGGGAAAGACACACATTGAGGGCAGTGTCAGGAGGAAAACCAGAGTGTTTTAAACCCCCAGTGTGTTTAAAAGAGTCTCTTTTGTTCAGCAAAAGAAAAACACCGTCGCCAAAAAATTGAGGGGAAAAAGTTTTCTACTTGAATTATTGTATCAGAGAAACAGTTGTGCAATTAGACGAATAGTCTACAGTACAAATTACAATAGTTAGTGCAGCTCTAACTGATATTTTATACTGAAGGACATAAATCCTTACCTCCTACGGAAGACATGAGCCTTTGTGTTCAGTTTCTGGGTTCAGAGGGGTTTGGTAGTTGTAGTTTTCATATGTATGATAATAGCTAAGTGAAAAAGAAGAAAGCAGGCAACTGGTTTGTAAAAGAACTCTGAGGTGGGTTGCCACAAAAAAAATCTTGAATGAAACAACATAACCACACCATCAGCTCCAGGATGTACCATTTGCAGGTGTGAGCTGAAGGCACGAAAGTACAAGACCCAGGTTCAATCAGGCTAATATTTCAAGTGGATTAAGTGTATAAAGCTTAGGACTTGTCAACAAAAGACATGAATAAACACCCACAAGATTGTCTTACCCTTCCTTCTGCTTAGAAACTATTTTGCAGACAATGCCCACCCCCAGGAGCAACAGGACTCCTGCGGCTGCGACTCCTGAGAGAGAAAAGCCTCTATTATACTCACTGTATATTTTAAAGCATACAAAAAGCATAACAACTCTAATCTTCAAAGCAAACAGAGGGAAATGTGACACTGAGGGCACTGGAGGCAAAAATGTCTGTAAGCTGCTTACCTAGGCCAACTGACCCAGACTTATGTGACGCTGGAGGGGAGAGAAAAAGAGAAATCAGCAAACTGTACTAACAAAATACAGTGTTCCTCAACTGCCATCAATTCTCTATCAATAAACCTTTTAGAATCATGGAATGGTTTGAGTTGGAAGGACCTTAAAGATCACCCAGTTCCACCCCCTGCCATGGGCAAGGACACCTTCCACCAGCCCAGGTTGCTCCAAGCCCCATCCAACCTGGCCTGGAACACTCCCAGGGATGGGAAGTCCACAGCCTCTCTGGACAACCTGTGCCTCATTGGTACAACTGTTAAAACCTCCGATACAACATTTCTTAAAGCCACACCGTCGTATACTCTTATTTTTTTAAATACAGGAAGATATTTTTATGTTTAAAATGAATTTGCATTTTTCTGTTTGATCTTTGCTCCATTCCCATTTCACTCACTCAGTTTACAGACTGGGACAGGAGGGTCCCAGCTGAAATCCTCTTGGCACTGAATCTGACTGATGCCTTCCAACATGTAACCATCATCACATTCCAGAGTGATGTTAGACCCAGAGCGATAAGTGTTTCCTTTAATGGATTTCTTAACGCCTTGGATGTCTGGGAATTCACACCTGATCTCTGAAATGAGAAGCAATAAAAAGAGGGCATTCAATGAGAGAGAACATAAAAGATGAGAAATACAGCTGTGGGTTATTTAGGACATTGTTCTTGAGCTCTTTCTGAATGTAGCTAGGAAGTAATTCCTATTCCACATGGTAATTCCTTTCTTTGTGGATACAGAAGTGGGGAAGTGTCTCACTCCCACATGCAAATATTTGGACAGATCAGCTGCTCTGCACTGATACTGGAAAGTATGTGCTGTAGAGGTACCTGGGAGAAGCCTGACAGGGCAGAAAATAATTCTGATAATATCCCTGCTACCAAAGCTTTTGGAGAAGAAAGGTGTAGCAGGGAAGAGTTCTGTGGGAGTTTTATAACCAGCTGCCTATAAACCACAGAAGTCTCTTGCCCTTCAAAAAGGTCATCAGATTAATTTACTAATTAGTCCAGTCATCTGAGCTACTTATACTGCTGACTTCAATAAGGTGAGCCAGTTACTTTCAGCATCTCATCATTTTGAACAGTGTAAGGCCAAGAATTCTGCTGGAGAAGGTTCTCAGTAACCTCAGCATGTAATACTTATTTTGATTATCACGCGAAACAGTAAATAAAGGCCCTTCGAACCCACAAAAATGTGGCATGGCTGGAGATTTTTTCTGCTTCCTTCTTCTTTTGAGAGCCTCTGACTTACTATATAAGCATTTGGCATGTTATTTCCTCACATTGTTATCTGAGAGTTTCAATTCTTGACTCATGAGGTGGGTGCAGTTCCTTCAAGGAAGCTCCTCGTGTGGTTAACGAATTTATTCCAGTGCATGTCCAGTTTTCCATACAGGAACACCCACATTAGGAATCTTGTGACATTCATGCATTGCCCTTAGTCCACTTTGCCTGATGTCTGACTGTGAGCTACATGGAACAGTCAAGTCATGGATAGAGAGATTCTCATGGATTCTGAGAAGGGAACAGTTGTTGTCATGTACAAATCATCCATCAGAGAGAAATTCTCTGATATAATCACTTCGTTTCCTGTTAGTGATACTGGGGAGTGAGACACAAGAACGGAAGGAAAGGGAGGAGAAAACATTTCTACTCTGCTAACAGTTCAAAGCTTTCAGTGGAGGAAGTTGGTTTACACCTCATTCACGGCAACAAGAGCAGAGGTGGAAGATGTGCAGGAGTTAAAACTGCCTTTCAGAATTGCCTCTGCTGGGCTCACACCCTTCTCACTATTTGCTTGAGAGTCCCATCCTGCTTCTTTACAATGTCATAGCCTTCCCAGGGATAACAGAGTAGATAAATTCATAGTTCAGTTCTGCCTAGCTATGACATAAAAGCAATTCCCATGTAAAATAAAGGGATGGAATTCAGTGTTAGCTGCAGAAGATTTTACTGCTTTAAATCTTGGCCTATGTGTCTCTGAAGATTTATTTTTCTCCCCAAAGTAAAATGTCTATATTCCAAACAACAGGAGCAAACCAAGCACAAACCCACCTTTGCACTGAGGGAGAGGCTGGCTCCAGGCTCCTGACACTGTGCAGCTGATGAAACCATTCCCAATGAGTGAATAACCAGGACTGCAGCTGTAGGATACAGATGCTCCATAGGAAAAAGTGTGAGAGATGTTCCCTTTGAGCTTCCCATTGGGGATGTTTGGAGGACGGAGACACTTCACAACTGGAAAGTCAGGGAGATACAAACAACAGGATCCTGAAGGAGTGGCTAAGGCACTTTGCAGCCTTGAATTCCTTCACCCAGGCAAAAGAACCTGTAACCCTGTAATCCCACCAGGATTTGGAAATGGCTATAAGCTTGATCCTGTTCTTGTCACACATTCTGCAATAAAGGGCTCAGATTTAGGCCTTCTACAAACCACTCCCTAAGGCAAGTCATGTTAAATATCCTCTTTTCTTAGCTCTCTGCAACAAAAACACACCTTGACAGACAGGAGGAGGATGGCTCCAGGCTCCAGATGGTGTGCAATAAATGGATGCTGTCCCAAGGAGAGAGAAACCAGGCTCACAGATGTAGCTTACAGATGTTCCAGGAGTAAAAAATGCTTTTGCTGGGCTACTGAGAGACCCGTGGGTGATATCTGCAGGCTTGGAACAGTGCAGCACTGAAAGCAGAGACATGCAGATCAAAACAGAGCTCATAGAGGCAAGAGGGAAAACTTTTGAGCAGCTGTGGACAGCTGAATGCTCACTCCCACAGCCCTGAATCCAACACACAGAGCCAGCACTGCCCAACCCTCTGCAATGGGGGCAATTATCCCTCTTCCCTCAAAGAGCTGGACAGGTTGGGAGGAGGAGTTAGTGTTTAGTAAGTCTCTCAGCTTCTAAAAAGAGACCTACCTGGCTTTCTTGTGGTGTCTGGATGATGATAGGGTTCTGCCACTCCATCTAGATGCGACATGAAGAGTTTAAAAGTTTGGTTGAGCAAACAAAATGCACAAATCTACCTTCACTTTCCATCATTCTGCCTTTACCCCTCCAGCAAAAACTTCACTCCTCTCTGATGCTCAGTGTCCTGCCTTGAAGCTACCCAATTTCTCACTTTCAGGGAGTGAAGGCAGTGTGGATTATGGATAGCAATAAGCAAGGAGAGAAAGTACAAATCATGCTGATACTTACAGCATTACCCAAACCCTGATTCATCACCTGCCTGAGAAGAGAGGCATAAATAAAAGGAGCAATTTCTGGTTTCTTCGCAAAGGAGTTGGAGCAAACAGGAAAAAGAGAGCCAACTTTGGCTTTGGGTGGGAGAAACAAGGGGAGAATCTGCAGTGCTGACAAGTCTGAGTGCTGAGACTTACCCTGTTCACAGACAGGTACAGGTGGATGCCACATTCCATTCACGTGGCACTGGGCTGTGCGATGGCCTCGCAAGGTGAAACCTTTGTGGCACCTAAAGCTAACTGTGTCTTTGTACGTGTAGCGATGTCTAGTGACAATTATTCTCCCATTCCGGATCTCTGGGGCTGGACAAACCACCTCTGAAAAATGAATTCCTTATCTCAGAGGGAGCCACATGTAATTGATGTATAAATATTGATGCTCAGAGGAGTTTCACTGGTAGTATTTGGAGACTCAGAGAAGAAGAATTCAAAGAACTGAGAAATTTTTAGTTCATTTAGGCACCTTAAACTTGTCATTCATTCTCATGACTGCTTTACTATCCCAAACTCATCTCTTCCAAAGCAATTCCATGTGAAGGAAAGACTAATTGCAATGCTCAACCCCTGTAAAACATCCTTGTGGTTTGGATAACAGTACAGGGTTTGGAAGATTCCAGTCCAGTTTTGCTCAGTATCCCACTGTCCTACTGCAAAACACATTTCTTCCTGAATTTATTATGTATGGTTGTGAAACAAAAGGGACAAATCCCTGCAGGCATCTCACAGCTCATCAGTCTACAGAAGTATGACAGATCAAAGCTTGCATCTGGAAGGTTTTTAGAAGGAACCAACCGAGCAAGCAACTAAAAACCATCCTAGAGGAATATTATGCTTTAAAACTCTTATTCCTCTAATTCTATTTACTTAAAGGGAATGCCAGTTTTGAATTTAAAGGACTTAATTTGCCAGTTCTGGGTCAGAAGTAGTGGGTGACCTACTTACTCTGACAAATGGGAGGAAAACCACTCCATGCAACATCTGCTCCAGAAATCTCACATCTCCTGTGAGACTGTCCAACCAGTTGGTGCCTGGAGTTACAGAGAGAGAAACAGCAGCTCATACCAAATCATTCAGCTTGGATTTTGCACTCCCACTCTGACACTACCCCCAGAGGTTTCTTCCTGCAGCCTCCTGACTCTGGCTGGTCACCGAGGTGTTTCTGTTGGTTTGACACATGGGAACGAAGGACACCAGGTTCCTTCTTCCTAGATCCAAGAGGAACAGCAATGATCCCAAATGTCTCTGGGTTATATTGGTCAGGAGCTACATCAGGACTCAGACCCAAGTGATTTCCAGAGGGCTGGAGCCTCCTTGCAGCATGTGCTTGCTCACACTCTTGGTTCCTGCTGTGTGACCATCTGAGAAGGCAAACTGAAACTGATGCTTGCAAATTAATCTATTGAGCACAGGAAGGGGAAAATGAGACATTTCTCCCTTTCCTGAGCACACAATGATGGCAGAATGGGAACTAACATCCAGATTTTGGCTTGCTGTGGGAGAACAGCTGCACAGAGGAATGCACTCTGATCCATGACTATAAGTTGCCCAACATCAAGCTCAGACATGGACTCAGCAAAGGCAGAGTGGGACTTACCCTTCTTTACATGTGTAGCTCACGATTGACCCAAAAAGGAGATCTGTCAGAACAACAACTCTGCCATTCTTGGGTGTTTCTGGATATTTACATTGCTTCCCTGGGAAAGAACAAGGCTGAGTTTAAACTCCTCTCTGGTTGTTGTCTAACACACTACGAGAAGGTATCTTAAGGCTCTGTCCACATTCTGACACCAATAGAGATGTGATTTGGAAAAGGCCAATAGCTGCCCAAACTATGTGACTAGTGAAGCCATGTATGAGTCTTTCTCTAAAGAATTGCTTTAAGAAACCCACAGATAAGACACTTTCAAAACAACCAACACCAAATGGATTGAGCTATTCACTTTTACAGAACTCTAGTGCTTCAGACCACGTGTGGTTTTTGAGGCATGTCAGAGTTGAGGGTGCTCCAGGGTGTCTCATGTATCCTGGTTGGCAGTTGTATCTCACAGTGTTCCCCACAGCAAACTCCATCAGGTGCTTGTACTCCTTCATTAGCTCAGCAAAGGTGAAGGTTGGAGGTGCACCACAGCCACCTACCAGGAAAGAAAACATAGGGAGAATCTGAGATATCAACTCCACTATGTTGTTTTAAAAATGTATGCAGAGTTTGCACAGATAATAATTTCCAAGCAAAATGGAAAGCAAAGGGGAAGGACTGAAGGATACCAAATTTTGGGAAGGGTAAGGATGAGTCCTACAGGCTTTTAGGGGCAGAAACTCCCAGACTATCCATAACTCCCACCCTGGAACCACAGTGTACCTGCACACCGAGGAAGAGGGAGGCTCCAGTTTCCAGTGTCGGTGCAGTAAATTGATGCCTCTCCCAGGAGGCTGTAGCCAGGGTCACAGCTGTAGTTTACAACCATCCCAGTGGTGAAAACTTCCACATCCTGACTGTTGTGTTTTCCCTTGTTGATATTTGGAGGTGAAGGACATTGCAGTGCTGAAGAGAGAAGACAAAACAAAATTGAGAAAAGGCATGGACAGGGTGATTTGCAGGAGGGATGCATGGACAAAGGTGCTCCAAGGGTTGGGGCAGCTCTGCTGTGGAGTTGGCAGTGTTGAGCCTGGAGAAAAGAAGGCTCTAGAGATACCTGGTGCCTAAAGGGATGCCAAGAGAGTTGGAGAGGGGCTTTGGACAAGGGCCTGGAGTGCCAGGACAAGGAGGAATGACTTCCCACAGACAGAGGGCAGGGATATTTGGGATATTGGGAAGAAATTCTTCCCTGTGAGAGTGCTGAGGCACTGGCACAGGTTGCCCAGAGCAGCTGTAGCTGCTCCATCCCTGGGAGTGTTCCAGGCCAGGTTGGCTGGGGCTTAGAGCAACCTGTGCTGGTGAGAGGTGTCCATGGCAGGGGGTGGGACTGGATGACCTAATTTTAAGCTCCTTAAGCTCATTGCCATATGAAAAGGGCACTAATTCTAAGAGTCTTCCCAAACCCCCCAGAGGAGGGAACTGAAAATGAGAAATTACAAGGCTTCATCTCACAGCAATTTAAGCAAACTAGAAACATCTGTGAAACATACGTCTGCAAAACTCCTGGGCTTCAGACCACGTTTGGTTTTCAAGACATGTGATAGTTGGTGATATTTGTGGCTGTTTAACATATCCAGGTCGACAAGTGTACTTCACAGTCCCCCCAACAGGAAACTCTGTCTGATTTTTATGCTCTTCATTTAGCTCAGCAAACAAAAACACTGTTGGTGTGCCACAGCCAGCTGCCAAGAAACAAAATACACATGAGAAACATGTCCTTGGCTGTGAAATGCAGTGAAAGAGAAACAAGTGCATTGATACATACTGTTAAACCCCAAGGTATTACTACACCCCCATGTGTTCTCACATTTATCTGCATAAATTTACACTTCATGGAAGGACACATGCACCTAATTTATATGCTCTTAAAAAGCCCAAACTAAAACAATGACCCAAAAACTGGTTTAGCCGGTTTGGTGTTTTCACACTATGTTTATCCTACACTGCAGCTCTGCCATCATTCAGTCCATCATCTTTGGGCTGTAGAGTGCAGGAATCTTTTATTTCAGTATTTAGAAAAGCTGAGGTTGTCTCCTTTTGGGAAACCACAGGCTTTAGCAACACCACTGCAGAATCACAGAATATTCCAAGTTGAAAAGGACCCACAAGTATCATTGAGTCCAACTCTTGGCCCTGCATGGGACATCCCCAAGAATCCCACCATGTGGCTCTAACACCAGATTGTTCCCAGTGCCACCAAAGTGAACACAGCTCCTGTGTGTGCTGGAAGCATATTTAGACCCATGGGTGTCACTGAACATGTGGTTCCTTCCTCATGCCAGCTCTGCAGGTTGGCAGGTTTGCCTGCTCCAGGACCAGCCGAGCATGGGATGGATGCTCAGG